TTGCAAGAGAGCATGCCGATCCACATAATCAACAGATCTTTGCATTTATATTGAAAAAATTTCAACGATGGACAGGTACTCTAGTAGAATTTAATTAAAGAAAAAGAATTTTTATTATTTTTTATTTAGGTTTTAAAAAAATAACAGATGAAGAAATTCAAGAAGAACGAGATACAATAATGCGTTCAGAATATTTTCATACAATTGAAAATTTTCCAGAAAGAATCGATCAACTCTTAGATGCAATCAATCGAGTATATTTTACTTTTTTTTATATCATAAATATATTTATTATTCTTTAGTTATATATGTCACAAAGAATGGAAAGAGAAAGATTAATAGAAATTACTATTTAATATTGATTATCACATAAAGACAAGAGACAATTTATATTTTTTGCTTTTTTTGTATTCGTCTGTTTCTGTTGTTTGTTTTGGTACAGTAAATATCTATTTATCTAATTACATTTGTTTTTAGAAGGGTGTGGGTATCTATATCACTATTGTGTGATTATTATATTCACACCGATCCCTTTGTTTGTTTGCTTATTCATGATAAGTCGCAAATAACATTTGTCTCGCTACTTATTGAAAGTAGAAAACGTGTCAATGTTTCATAACCTAATTTTTAGTACAGTATCCTCTACAAAGTTCAGTTAATATTAAAGATTTATTATTTGTGTCCGATGGATGTGAATACTCAATTCATATATAGGTGGTGGAGCAGATACGCCTTTTTTTAAGACATAAAATAGCATTTTTACTCTCAAAAAGAGACACAAATATCGCCAATACAAAAAACAATTTCATTGGATGTTCAATAAAATATTGTTTCTTCATTTCTTTATATGTTTTTATATAAAGCAGCAATAATATGACTATGCCAAAAATGACATAACTGAAACAATTTGTAATATATTTTAATTAAAAAAAGTGCACATAGATAAGTCATGAACAGATTGCACTCAAAATCTATTTGCTAAAGTATTGAAAAAAACTAATATATCATACAATTGTTTCTCTTATTTCTTCTGTTGCTTTAGCACTGACTAGTTGACAATATAAACCGTAGCTTCTCAAAAGAGATACTTTTTAATTAAATAGCATAGCTATTTAAAGCTTCATAGCTATTTAAAATGTGGCGCCTTTACGACAATATTGTAGCTACTGATTCAACTAGCTATGCTAACTTAGTGCTATATAAGCATTAACATAGCTATTTAAAATATTAATAGCTATTTAAACAAATGTGCACAACTATTAAATTATTTAAGTAGCTGACTATTTTTCTATAGAATTTTTAATTTGTTCTTTTATTGTATGACTGACTGTAAAAAATCTATAAATTTCTTTTTTTTTTCGATTATTTATCAAATACTCTGAATTGTCATGATATTTTTTAATAATCCTGGTTTTAAATAATTCATAAAATGATATACATTAAAAAATCAGTTTTTGTTATGAACTAGATATTCGGATAATAATAAATATTTTTTGTTTTTTTTTGCACCCCGTGCTCGAAAAAAATGAGTAACTTTAAATAAATAGCTAAGATTTTTTTTAAATAGCGCTGCAAAAGTTTAAGTATTAAAAGTATTTTAAATAGTACTGGAGAATGTGAATAGCTTGTAATCTTAAGATAGCTAGAAGATTAAATAGCTAACAAAGATTTAAATAGTGCCGGAGAATTTAAATAGTTAGTGAAGAAAATAAAGTCATATGAATAAACAACTATTTCGTTTTTATAGAATTTTAGACTATTTTTTTCAACTGAATGGATGTCTATTTAAAATCTTCAATTTTTTCTTCATAAATCGTTATCAAGGTATCAAAATTTCGAGTTATTATGATAATTTTCTGATAAATATGGTTTTGAATAGTTCATGAAATAATGTAAGTCAGTAAAATATATGTTATTACGAATGAACTAACTATTTAGATAATTGATATTTTCATTCAATTTCGCAACATCTGCTTGAATACAATCAATAACTTAAAATAAATAAATCACACATTCTTATTGAAATACTTGCTATTGAAAAAAAAATATTACAGTTAGATAGATAGATGGAAAATATTTAATTACTATACACATATCCATAGAAGAAAGGTATATTAAAAAGTATTTATTGTAAAAATGAGGTATTTCGACGTAGGAACTTGTAACGTATTATATCGTAATACCAAAATATTTGCATTTGTATTTTTGCTCAATGTCCTATGAAAGTCTTTAAATAGCGATGAAGATTCTTAAACAACTATGATCGTAATTAAATAGCTATTTTTTTAGTAATTTATAATAAATTTTATCAATACTAGTCAAAAACCTCTACAGTTACGTAATCATTTAAATAACTAATTGAGTTATAATATAAGTTCGTATTTTATTCTGTTATATGATCGTGTATGTAAAATCCACGCCTTCTTCTTTTTGTTGAATATTTATACAATTTTTTTAAGAGGATATCAAAGTGCAATCAATAACTTTAAATCAATAAGTGATATGTATCAATATAGTTAAGAAATATTTTCATAGCTATGAGTATATTAAGTTATCATGAAGTTTTAAATAGCTTGCGAATGTTTAAAATAGCTACGAGACTTCAAATAGTTATGGAAAATTTAGTAGGTACGAATATTTAAATAAATAATAAATTTTTTAATAGCTAGTCAGTTTCTAAATAACCAATTGAGATTAGTATAATAAATTTTGTTTCCTAGGATCTGATTATCTAAATAATTAATCTTCCTACTTATTTTTCATCAACACCTGCTCGAAATCAACTAGTAATTTAAATTAAAAGTTGGCATACATTTAAATAGCTACAACAATCAAAATAGATGATCAATATACCATCATATATATTAACAAACTACATATTATTTCAAAAGTCTGTTAATTCAATAATTGATATACTAGTTGATTTTTTCAATAGGCTATTCAAAAACAATCAATAGTTTTTAAATCAATTGTTAATACTTGTTTATACAGGAAAACAAAAACAACTTAAATCATGAACAAATCAATTATTGTTAACAAAGCGTTGTTATTTAATCATTATAACTTTTGTTTTCAACATCTCTACTCGAATAATTCGGTAACTTATAATACATATTTAAAACTTATTTATATAATTATAAATATTTATCTATTGATAATTCAAATATATTTAACATCACTTGATAATAACTCGCTACTCATCAAACTGTATATATTAAATAAATAGCTATCAAACTTTTAAATAGTGCAGACGAAACATTAAATAGTGCTGTACATCTTTAAATAGCGCTCAAGATTAATTAGTTGCTAAAAAAAGTAAACTCTTAGTAATTAAATAGCCGACAGTTCATTAAATAGCTAAAACGATATATTAAATAGTGCTGTATATCATTACCTAGTGCTGGAGATTAAATAGCTCAACAAGAAAACAAATATAATAAATAAGTAGCTGAAGAGCCATTAAATAGCTAAGATCATATATTAAATAGTCCTGCATTTCAGTAACTAGTGCTGGAGATTAAATAGCTCACCGAGAAAAAAGTCATCATAAATAGATAGCTGATAAGTCATTAAATAGCTGCGAAGCTAGATTAAATAGTGCTGTATATCATTAAATAGTGCTGGCTATTAAATAGTTGATCAAGAAAAAAGATCAAATCAATAAATAGCTGATACGTCATTAAATAGCTGAAAAGATATATTAAATAGTGCTGGCCATTGAATAGCTGAGAAGTAAAAGTGTAATACATAGTTTTCTGTACTATTTTTTAGAGATAGTCTATATAACAAAAATTGTATCTCTTTTGAGAATGAACCATATAAACCATACATCAAGAGGAAAAGGGCGGAATCCGATCATTTTGGATTCCAATGATTTCAAACGATGCCAATCATCGAAATGGATTCCAATAGGCTTCAATGGATTCCGATTGAGTCCCATGGATTCTTCCTTATTTCATAGCTCTCTTAGACCTGTACACTCATACTGAATGGAAGATGGAAGGGTTAGACTGTTTCGCGGCTCACGTTAAAAATAATTTATTCATATACAGATCCATCCAACGATTATTGCTGCTTACTTATTTCAATTATACTTCGCGAGAAACGGCATTGACTGTTTAGACACGTGGGTCTCCTCCCCAAGAATTATGAGAAAAAATGTGTCTTTTCATGAGCGAAAACATAACATGTATGGAGATTCAGAAGTACTAATGGGCGTGGGTGTCAGTGTGAGTATTCTATTTTATTCATACCCACACTCACCCAACACCGCATCCATACCCACCCACACTACACCCACACCTTTTGTTTTAAATCGCCCATTATGTTTGTGATCGTAGCTGTCTGTTTATTTTCAGATAAAGTGAAATAAAGGCATGTATAATTCCCAAGTTTGGCTCACACTGATTTGCAGCTTATTGACATTGTCCATGGAGGAGGGTTTTAGTCAACATTGGATGATTTACTCGAAAGACGAAACTCGTACAGAATGCTTTGTCATTAACTTCCGTTATTATTGTCGCCCGGTCACAGCTAATACTATTATTGACCCTTGCAAGGATGGAAACTCATGGACTTTTGACAAGTTGGAGAAGCTCAACATCACAACTGAAAATTTGATGAATTGGTTAATACCTTTCCATTTAATCGAACAATACGCTGCTCATTTAAATGATAAAGAGAATACTCGTGCAGCTGAAGCAACAATCTGCAACTGTAGTCAAAATCGGATTGGCAGATATTGCGAATATAATTTTAATTCGAGGCACATTGCGCCTGGCAATTGGTTAGGTCAACAGATGTCCAACGTGTATTTAAACAATCACGAAACACTCACAAGATTCGTTGACGGGATTATATGTCCAGGAGCAGATATGTTTCTGGAGTGGCGACATATTTGTGATGGGTTCACTCAGTGTACAAATGGGGCTGATGAGCATAATTGTTATCTGCTGGAATTTTTCAAATGTGAATTAGATGAGTTTCAATGTCGCAATGGAATGTGTATTCCAATGGAATTTGCCTTCGATGCAATGCCTGATTGTATGGATCGGAGTGATGAGCAAGCGCTTGATGAACTCTACAAACGGTATTATCAGTGCGCAAGAGAGTCAACGTTCGAGTGTGATGATCGACTGTGTCATAAAGACCAGTTTTCATGTGGAAATGGGGAATGCGTTCCATGGTCAGCAATTCTAAACGACCAAAAACATTGTGATAACTTCCGTGATATCGCCTACATTTGTGAAATATCGAACTTGCTGTTACTAACTCGTGGAGACTGGTCTGGCATCTGTAAACAAACGATGAAACTTGTTCCTCCTTTGACAAACAGTTCAGATTGTCGACAAACTCTTGGACATTTATTACAAACTCATCCTTCTCATCAATTCAGGGATCTTGCCATGATCAATCTCAGAATTCGCTGTGATAATCTCATTGTATATTTAGAACAAAATGCTTTCTTTCCAGGTTTAAAAATAGTCTACAATCGCTCTCGTATCGAAACATTCATCATCAATCCAAGTAATTTACAGAAACCAATACCGAAGACACCTGATCTATATTATTTCACTGGTCGCATCGTCTGCAACGGGATATCATTAAATACAACAGAAAAAATCTGGTTCACCCATCAAGAATTGCAAAAATTCACCTCTTACCCATTTTTTCCACTCTTTCACTTAATTTGTCAAAAAATAATGAATCAGTCGTTAAGTAATATGAAAACTGAAAATAATTTGGATTCATCAACCACACCATCGTTCCATCGATGCAAAAATACATCAGATCGCGTGTCATTACGTCGAATCAATGATGGTTATATCGATTGTCTATACGGTGACGATGTGAGGAATCCCGATTATCCAATGACTCAACTATTTCGTTATCAATGTCAAACTGTCACATCCCCATCTCAATATGTCAGCTGTGCTAAATTAGGTGATGGTGTGAATGATTGCGCCGACGGAAGTGATGAAATATCTAATGAGATACGCTGGTCAACCCTAAAATGTGATGTGAATGATAATTATGCGTGTTGGATTTTTCATGGCGATCAATTCGGAGAGAACCGTCTGAAAGACGCTCGACTCCATTTTCATCGTTACTGTGATTCGATCTGGGATATAATGGATGGTCGAGACGAAAAAAACTGCTCAGATTGGATATGTGATCCCGGTTTGTACAAGTGTAATATAACAGGACAATGCATCGAGCGAAAATATTTTTGTGATGGTGAATTCGATTGTGGTGATGGTGAAGACGAAGTAAATTGTTCTTTACCATGGATACCATGGAATCTCGAAGCGAAATGCGACAAGAGCACTGAATTTTTCTGCATCACTGATGACTATGTGAAGAATCAAAGTTTGAATCGTTCTTGTATTCATCGAAGTCGAGTAGGTGACGGGCACATTGATTGTATTGGAGCTCGCGACGAACGTAATGTTGCATCGTGTCCGGATCATCGGATAGTTGGTGATCGTTTCTTGTGTGATAAAGGAAAAAAATGCATCGATTACATGGCAATATGCAATGGAATCAAGGATTGTGTGGACGAAACTGATGAGTCAATTTGCTATTGGAATAATGGTTCGTGTCCTGTCGGACAGTTTTCTTGTGCAGATCAAAAAGATTGCAAGAGTACGAGATGTAGAGGACAAATAGCATGCATTGATAAGTCCCATCGTTTCTGGTGTCCGAATTCAAACAGTGAAAATTATGTCTATCGCTCGAGTAAGTATAGATCAGTAATTGACAATAAAAAAAGATGTTACAATCAATTGAAATCCAACACCAAACTTGCAATTCCATCGTCATTCTCAAATCAACAAGTGAAAGCATTGGCTCACCGAAACTTCTACTGTAATCGAGGTTTTTATCTGCACGTAGTCGCCAGATCCGAATTCTTCTGCTTTTGTCCGCCGACTTTTTACGGTGATCGTTGTCAATACAACAATCGACGAGTGGGCTTTCGGTTTCGCTTCGATCGAGGGCAACGCTCTGATCTTCCATTTATTCTGAACGTTCTTGTCACACTTGTTCTGAACGGAAGCACAGTAGTTGATCATCAATTTTTTCTTGATGCAGCCAAAGAACACTCATCAAAGTTTATTACCTACTTGATCTATCCTCATCCAAAACCTTCGGGTACCTATTCTGTTCGAATTGAAACCTATCATTCTACAGAGTTAATCCATTTCTGGGAATATCCTGTCAGTCCACTAGACTTTTTGCCTGTACTACGTATTACCAAAGTGCTCCGATTTCCTGCTCGTTCACTTCCCTGGCTTTGTTCACAAAACTATTGTGAAAATAATGGAATCTGCCATCAACGAGAGGACAACCGATTTCTCTGCATTTGTGCATACGGTTGGAAAGGTAAACTGTGCGAGATGAGAACTGAGTACATTCATTGTGCATCACATTCGCTAGCATGAAGAGAAGCTATCTGTGTTTGTCCGGAAGGCTACCTTGAACCTTACTGTTACGTTCAAAATCTAAAATGCCAACAACATAACTGCGAACTGAATGAAACTTGCATTCCACGATCAAATCTTCCTATCTATGGATATACTTGTATCTGTAACACATCTAATTGTAATGTTAATAGACCAGTGATTAGTCTTCACCGACAAGAGCCGAATCAGTCGCCGCTTCTTTTGCAATTACTCCAACTTGCAGGAGATTATCCGAAGATTCGTCAGCAAATCCTCATTCAACCACAAACCTCGTTTCCATTGATTCAAACAATTAAAATTCGTGATGGTCGTTATGTAATTGGAGAACAACCTGAAATCGGATTGCTCTTCACTTTTGAATCAAACGTACATTCAATCGAGACTACATTATATTTGCTCTTTATCAATTGTTCTAATGCGATGAGAAACTTTTCCGTTGATCTGGATCAACAACTAAACAAATGTTATGTTCTACCCGATAATCAAAGACATGCTGTTACCTTGTTTAGCAATTTTTGCCAAAATTTCACCTATGGTACTTGCTTTATATCTGATGGATATCTCTGTTATTGTGGTTATCCGAATAAAAATCATAGTAATTGTCTTTCTTATCAACGACGATACACAGTATGTAGCTATTGTCAAAATCAAGGGCACTGTGTTCAAGGTGATCTAACAAACAGAACTGATTTTGCTTGTGTGTGTCCAAAGTGTGTTACAGGTGTGCTGTGCCAGTTTTCACCTAGTCGTTTCTCCATCTCCCTAGAATTTCTTTTTGAGAAAACGGACTGGGGTCGCGGACATTTTATCGCACCGATAATTCTCTTCATCATCGGAATGTTCTTTAACTGTCTGTCAATCATCACTTTTGTACAACGAAAACTTCGTAACAATGGAATAGCTCTTCATCTTCTGGCAACGTCAGTGTTTAGTTTGTTGGTGCTGTTATTGTTACTTGTACGGATCAGCTATCTCTATATGGTACGACGTATCATAATCTCGGATGAAGTAAATACAGTCATATGCAAGAGTCTACCCATGCTCATGCAAACTTTCTACTATGTCACTTTGTGGTTAATGGCGATAGTTACAGTACAAAGAGCACTGGCTGCAGTACAATATTCTCGATGGTCTTCGTTACAAGAGCCAAAGAAAGCAGTTGCATTGATCTTGGGGATTGTATTGATTGTTTCAAGTTCGAACTACATATTTATCACTCAATACAAATTAGTCAATCATCCTGAGTATTCGTTTCCTTGGTGTATTCGTGAAATTTCACCGGATCAGCAACTGTTGGCACAAATGTTGGCTTTGATTCATCAGGCAGTTCCTTTCCTAATTAACATTACCGCAGCCTTGATCATCATTTTGACAATCACTCGATCGAAGGTGCATGCTCATGGAAAAACCACACACAATGCTCTGATTGATGAAACACGCAAACTAATCGATCTGCTGCTAGGCCCGATTTTTTGTTTTATAGCACAATTAGCTGAGATCGTGATTCTTTTTCTGAATGCTTGTGACTATGATACCAATGCATGGTTCTCCAAAATTACTTTGCTTAGCTACTACATTTCGTTCGCACCACAAACGAGTATTTTCTTTCTCTATATTATACCTTCGAGACAGTATTACCGTATATTTTTGAAAGACTCCTTGTTGGGTAAACATCTATCGAACGCGATAGAATCATCGACCATTCTTTTCAATCGGAAACGCTAAGAAATGCAACGGTAATGGTCCAGATGATCATTTTCACAACATGAAAACTAAAATATTCGGTGTCGGTGTGGATGTAAATGCCTCTTGTGTATCTTACTTCTGCACACACCCAAACCCTCACCCACACCCACCAGCCCACATCAAATTTTTTTGTTGTACTTATTATTGTTTCATGTCGTATTCTGGCTAATGTTTTTGTTATTGATTCAACTTCAAATAATGAACCCTTTTGAAGAATTGAAATATACTTATTTTCTTTTACTCGAGCATTAGCCATTTGATTTGTTGTACTTGCGTGGATGGATAGACTTTCTCACAGTTCATTAAATATTAAACTTCGTACCGTAAATACAGTTAAATTTGTTCGGCGAACTATATATACTTTCACAATACTTCATATTCTTGCTAAGGGATGGACGTTGGTGTTTCATTCATCTTTCACTCATATCCATTCAACTCATACCTCAGATCCCATCCCAAACTCCCGCCTACACCCACCCTACTGAGCACAATATAAATCTATGATTACTTTCACTAAGAAAATGTCTAATATTTATGCGGGTTTGATGAAATTCAAGGTTAATGAAAACAGATTATCGAGCATATAGAATATTATCATAAACGACTGACTCTTTGTTTATGCTTGTAAAGGTTCTAATAGAACTATTTTTTTTCTTGTTCTCTCTTTAATCTATCATACTTATTTACAGATACTATTTGAATAAAAAAATAAAGCTATTTTTATATTAAATTCATTTTATTTTACAAAAATACAAAGAAAACTTTATACAATATTCATTTCAAATATTCAACATTTCTAATTAAAATAATGTTGACGAATAGCAGCAGGAGTACCAGTTACAGGTTGATAATAATTATTATCTACTGGAATAAAATCAAGTTCACGTTCGACATTAACACGTTTTGCATATGGATTACGTTAAATTTCAACATCTTGTGAATAAATTCCATAATCATAATTACCGTAACTAATAGTTTGATAATCTCTATTCCAACTATTCGTTGGAGTGTTAAAAAATGGTTGAGCAAACATTTTATTAATAATAGTAAAGTATAATGAACAAAAAATTTATAGTGGTATGAATGTGTAAAAATGAGAAAGAAATATATGAGTATTGATACTATGATAATACACGTGTATAACAATAATATAAATTATAATTTATAGAGAATAGGAATAAGAGCGTCATAATCTACGTCATTAATAATAAAAAATAAATGTTCTAAAGTGCAATTGAGCGGATGAAGAATATTATTGAATACACTCTAAAATTGTTTTATTTTTCTTTTGAAAGAGAAGTAACAAATTGAAAGTGAAACGAAAAAGAATATTTATTTGTATGTTCAAAGATGATTTAAGATTTTCCATAAAATTATCAAATTTGTGACACAAATATTTAATTTTAACTTTATGAAATTACTTTCATTCTACCAATAACAAATCATAGAATTACGACTGAATATTTTCAAATGAAATTAATACTGAAATTTATTTTTATTTGCCTAAGAATTGTTTTGTTTTGTCGATTGCATGTAATGAAAGTATTATTACAGAAAATGCCAGTTTATTTGCAGAACATATATTTTTTTATCGCTATAACATAGTCAAATACTGATTATTTGAAATACACGATTATACCTTTGAATCATTTGAATGAATAAGAGAAAGCCTGACAGTTTTTTTTATTAAACACAAGATAAATATTAGTGCAGCATATATTTTTCCATAGGATATTTATTTTCCTAAGGTAGATATCAATGTTGATGTAGTGAGTTAGATGTTTTTTCTAGAAAGAAAAATAGTTTTTTAATGTTTTCCAGACGATATCATGTCGCAGAAGAGAAGCAGTTTTTTAGTATATTTAGTCATGAAAGATTAACAATAAAACACTTGCATTTGATTTTTTCTGACAAAACGTTTATAATTTCTTTTTAGATAAAAATTTCATCGTAACCATCAATATGAACGATAAACAATTCATCGACACAAGTAATCGTGATCAAAAACAAGCAGGAGCTAATTTTGTTGTAATGCATCAACCACCACCGGTTGCTACTCATACTATGACTGCAAATATCCCAAATTTTTATCAACCTCAACCGGTACTTATCTATCAAAATCCAAATCATCCACCGATGATGATGATGAACCATGGAATAAATATAAATCCTGCAATGACACCACAGATAATGGCTATCCCAGACTACAAATCATGGTCAATCTTTAATATTTGCTGTTGTTGTTTCATACTTGGTATTTTTGCTTATATAAAGTCTGGAAGGACAAGAGACAACAAAATGTGTGGAAATCTTCAAGGTGCATTGGAAGCATCAAAATCTGCTAAAATTCTCAATATTTCAGCTACAGTTATTGGCTCGATTGCAATAATTACCCTTATTATTCTTGCAGCAACTAAAACAATTACAATTTATACTTACTCATATTGAAGTTATATAGAAAAACAAACCTTTTTCTTCTCTTTTTTTCTTCTAAAACCTACTTATTATACTGTCGTATACATGATCCTTTTAAAATAAATATTATTTTATTCATAAGACCTTTTTATTAAATTCAAATTTTAAATTTATATATATATATATATATATGCAGGTGAGAGCGAACATATATTATCTATCCCATTTTACCTTTACTCACACCGTCCAGATGGTTAAAATGATGTTGTCTATAAGTCTGGCAAAAATTTTACTTGAAGTTTATTAATCATAGAAGACAAAACAAGTAAAAGGTGTGGGTGTGAATATTCCTTTATTATCTTCACACCCACGGTTCCTCTTCGTGCTTTATTATTAAATACGCAAAAAAAACAGAAAGTATTAATTTCATTTGAGGATATGAATGTACCGTTAATTATATTTAGACATGAAAAATTGAACTTTTAGTCTTGTCAAACCAATATTTTCCATATAAATATCATATTAGTTCTTGCCACGGTGTATTTTTGAAAATTCAATAATGTGTCATTTATAGTAAATACAATACAACATAGAAACATACGATACATAATCACAGATACACTGAAACCTTACATCAAACTGTTATAACTTTATAAGCACAAATCTTTCTATCATAGACGACGTCTTATTGATACATTCTGCAATTCTATTTGTGCAATATGATTCTGCCTAGTTCCTACGGTCGTTGGTTGTACTCTTCTATTTCTCACTATGAAACTAAACAATTCACGGCGAAATTCACCGAATGTTAGCAGATAAATTGGAAAATTTAACACAGGGAATGTGTACAGCAATGTGTCAAATGAATTGATTATGCGACGACCCGAAACAGTTGTAGAAAGACTGTCATAAAAGAAAGCGTAAGCAGTTGAAGATGGTGTACATGTTACCAAGAAAAGAGAGCTTGTAAATATGAGCGTGACTGAAATAGCTCGATGTCGAACACGTGAATTTTGTACCATGGTTATATTTCGTAGTCGCATGAGATGATAAACTGAAACGCTGTTTAGCAATGTCATTAGCAAGAAAGGAATACAGTTATAAATTACGAAATGTACCCATTCGAACTGTGGATAAACAGAATAAAATTTTGAGTCTCGGTTAATCTGTCCACTATCATCGATATAGCAAACGAATGGGAGAAAGTGGAAGTTAAAGAGAATGAAGAATCCAATAGTACCGCCGATAATAATGAGAATACTCTTGGGTCGGCTGAACCAAGTGTTACGTTGCAAATGACTTATAGATAAGTACCGATCCAGACAAACAAAAACGCGTAGCCATGCCGAAACATGAAGTATGAAAAAGTTAAAAAATGAAAAGAACTTGCATGATGCAACTGTGTATGAATAGCTTAAAGTAAATCCATAAATGATTCCTATGTAATTGTCTAAATTCCAGCCATACAATCCAAGGAAATCAGTCAGCACAATTGCGCGCATATAATACAATGCGGGACGTGTTTGTGTATCTCGAAATGCTGGCCGATATAATATGAAGAACGCCAGTAGATTCAGTACTGTACCAGAACTTACCATCAATAGACTGTAATAACCCAAAACGGCTAGATCGCTGACATATGAAGCTGAATCTGAACCATTTATATCACTTCCATTAGTCATTATGCTATCGTTACTACTGTTCGCCATTTTATCTAGAAAAGTTTCAAATTTATTTTACATGTAATTACCTATACAGATCATAATAAACAAAGAAAAGGGTATGAATGATCTATGTGTTTGTGATTGTCCTTGAAAGATAAGATTTCTTCTTATGAAAATACTTCGAGTTCTATGTATGGAATTCTATTTATAATAAATTTTCGCTCATAAAAGCCCTATTTTACAACGATGAGACGAAATAAACAAAAGGTAGAATAGAATTAAACGTGGTATTGTTAACTTTTCCTCAACGTTTGTAAAGCTCTCAGTTCTTGCTATTGAAAATAATATATATCGATGTCCTATTCTAGTTCAAATACGAATAAAAATTTCGGTTTAATGTACCTAAACTAACGAGAAAAATATTAATATTTATCATTAATTATCATATTTTTCAACGAGAAAAAGAGTCGAATCGGACGAGGAAAAAGAATAAATTAAAAAGGATAAACTGGCAGATGAACAAAGCAGACACATAGTTATATATCTATATCTGCTAGCGAGAGAAAGGAGAGAAAAACATAAAAATATATTAATAAAATAAGCAGAAGAGAAAAGAACTTATTTTGATGTCATTTTTAATTGTAACAAAGAGGAAGATTTTCCTACACAAAAAAAATAAAGTAAAAACGCCAAAGATTATTTCCATGTCAATTACAATCAGAGATGTAAACGAAGCCGCTCTGTCGGCATCGTTGTTGTTATAAATATAGATAATAGATTTTGAAGGATTTTTGTCATCCATCATGAGGATGTGGGTGTTTTGATCACATCGGAGGATACCGAAAGCTTTTACACATTTGAATCAGCGACTTTGTTACATCATTTTCGAAAGAGATAAATCAATCCTATCTTGTTTTCTCACTGAAATTCACGTCACTGCTTATGCCAACTCATGTCAAATAAGTTTTCAGTTATACGCTCGTTACTAAGAAGCTTGATAAATTAAAAAATATAAAAAACTGCATGCATATATGTTTATCACAACGGTTAACACATAAAAATCTCTATTAGACCATATTTCAACAACTATTATTAATCATATATATATATATTGAAGAACTATGACGATGTGCAAATATGATAACAATATGTGTCATACTAGTTTACTCATTTTCTTTCTGCAGATGTTTTTTCTATTAAGGAGATATATAAAACATCTATTCTCACTACTTTTACTACTAAAAAAATGTTTCGTGAATTACTATTCATTATATTCATTACATTTCACACTTATAGTACAGCTTCATCTGTGACACCTTCGCCTCCATGATGGCCTTCAGTTTGGATGACAACTGGTAGTGCACATTATTTATTTAATAATGAAACAGTAAGTACACAAATTTTTTATGATTGGACTCGACCAGCACAAGTTATGAATATGATGAGAGAAGATTCCTATACATATACCATAATGCATAATGGAACCACTGTTTGGCAATTAGAACGTGCAAATCGAACATGTTGTATTGATCCGTTACTAACAGGTGTAACACCACCAAGACCTGGTAAGAACTTTAAACTATATTAGAATATATTTCCATAAGATTCAAATTTCATCTGATCAAAATATCCTTTTTTCACATTAAATCTTAAATGAGTAAAAAAACTTTCTTTATCTTGATAATCTCTATTGTACTACAATCTGAATATTTTTCTCGTCATTAGATTGGTTAGAAATTGGTAATGAAACTATATATAATGGAATTGTGACGGTCATGGAACACGCATGTCGTTCATGGACAAAATATGTACCGGATATCGCATCATTCTCATGGTTAACATCAGTCGAAACTGGTATTCCATGTCGATTTGAATGGTTATATGCTATGCAAGTTGATTTTGCATATTATTCTGAAAATCGTGATTTATTACCAAAAGGCATTTTTGATGTACCTGATTATTGTCCACATGTAGTAACAGACCCAAAATGTAGTATTATGCATTTTTAAAAATAAGTTATACTATTTTCTTTTTCTCTAAGTCATATTCTTATTGATGATATATGTAGTTTTAATTTATTATATTCTCATAGAAATCCTATACTTTATTTGTCAAATCTATTATTTTTCAAGGTTATATACAATCGAATTATTCTTTTCTTCGGTTCTTCGATTCTTTTACTTCGAGAATAATAAAGAAAGACTACAATCTGTTTGATAAATGATGATAAAAATAGTGCTATTAAAACATTAATATAAAAAATACAGATAGTCAGATAACTGTCCAATGAAATTAAAATAAAGAACACACATGTGTTCATATTAAAAAAATAATCTTTATTTGAAAAACGTTACTCATACAAAAAGGTAAAATTCGAGAAGATTTTATAACATTACAGCGAATCATACTCTTTATCTTCTTGAGTAATTCACCTTCCCACGTTATTTTACTGAATCATAATATTTACTATTCGTGTGTCGACGTCATTCCGCCTGATATTAGTAAAGAACAGAAACAAGAGGAGTATGTAATATATGTATATATATATATGCGCAATATTTCTTCTGTATTTTTAATCATAAAAATGCATTCAACAGTTTATTTTTGCGTTGTCTTCACACTCTTTTTTATCTACGCACATGGAAAACCACTCTGTCTATTCAATTGTACAGCTTCTGGATATATTGGTATGCCTCTTAGTATTCCTACATCCTGTCAACAACGTAAGAAAGCAAACGACTGTGGTGTCGAAGTCAAATTCTATTATCATGAACGAAGATATGTTGTAGAATTTGATACATCATTCATTAGTCACTACTATCGATCAGTTTATATTCTACCGTCAAATTATTTGTCTTACACAGCCATGTATGCTTGTTCTCATAATGATAATTGTGCAATCGACTTTGCCAACAAGAAAGTACTCGATCTTTCTAATCGAACATTCGATGTTGGCAGTGTTACTAGACAATTAAGTAATTTTCTTCTTGAGTATCGACAACCTTCTGATCCAACACTTCGCTGTTACGACAATGAAGAATGTGTTTCCGGCGTATGTCGAATCGAATATAACACCGATAATAATAAAATGAGTAAAAGACGCTGTGAATCGAATAGTATCGCACGAGTGCACGTGTTCGATGGTGGTAGTCTTCCTTCATTGGACATTGAATGTAATCGAACGAGATGCAATTCTCCAGAAACTTACAACGAAGTAAAAGAAATCCTCTTTCGACATAATCTTACTGATATCAATGGTCGAATTAATGGCGGGCAAAAATCATATGTATCAACATTTCTTCTAATAGTTATGTTTCATTTATTTGTTTTTTATGTAACGAATTTTTCTTTTAATGAGAACTGATGTAATTCAATTTCTTCTTCATATCTATTAAGTCAAAACGAATAAATTGTCAGTCACTAAAAAAAACTGTATCTCATACATTTTAGAATTGAACATCGTTGAGGGTGTGCGGTGGTTGTGAGTGTATGATAGTCTCTTAGACGCATATTCATACCTACACCCACATCCTCAAGATGGATTTTTATTTGAAACTAAAAACGAAATCAATTTTCAGTTTTAGTCCAACCATCTTAGATATTACATCATTTTTACCAGCAAGACTTTGTCATAAAAAATTCCTTTTTGATTTCTTCTACTACCGAGCAATGTTTTTATTATCATTGAGTCATTAAGTTTATATATATATAAGTAGATAGATAGATAGATATTCATTTTATATATAAACTTCTATTCAAAAGCATGGCACTAGCAAACAACAAAGCACAATGTTTTACATGTCATAGAGAAAACAATACATATACATGTGAAGGATGTTCAAAAAGATTCTGTATAATACATTTAACAGAACATCAACAAATATTAAATGATGAATTAAATCACATCACCAATGAATATAATGAATTTAGACATATATTTAATGAACAAAAACAAAATCCATATAATCTTTCATTAATAAAACAGATTAATGAATGGGAAAGAAATTCAATTGAAATAATTCTACAAAAAGCACAAGAGTGTAGGAAAATTGTTATTGAATATTCACCAACATTCTTTAATGATATTGAAAAGAAATTTAATGATTTATCTGAACAAATAAAACAAATTCATCAAGAAAATGACTTTAATGAAAGAAATTTAAATTATTTAAGAAATCAATTACTAGAAATTACACAAGAATTAAATAATCCATCAAAGATTTCTATTAAAGAAGATTCACAATCATTTATTAATGATATTTCAATTATTTCATCAAAAAGTAAGTTTTTAAGAAACAATTTCTAAAAGAAAAATTTTGATGAAAAAGAGAAAAAACAATTGAGAATATTATTTATTTATTTATAAATTAATAAGAACTAAATCAACAAAGGATTTTTTCGTTTATTTTCTAAATAAAAAACTTCGAATAATATATGTTTTTGTTTTTAATAAAATTCTTTTCAAAATTCAACTTGAACAAAAAAATAAACCCAAAGTTTCATTAAAAACTAATCTTTTCTTTTTTCTTCGATAAGAAACAAAATTTTCTTCTTCTTCTTCTTTTCATCAAAATCTTCTGTTTTCATCATTTTCTAGAACCAAAATTCAATAAATGGAAACAAAATGCCGTCATTGTGGCTGGCGGAAATGGAAAAGGACAACAATTAAATCAACTTAATGAACCTGAAGGAATCTTTATTGATGAAAACAAAAATATTTTCATTGCTGTTTGCTTCAATCATCGCATTGTTGAATGGAAATACAATGCCATAGAAGGACAAATCATTGCAGGTAGAAATGGTATGGGAAATCGAGTGGATCAATTGAATCTACCAACAGATGTGATTGTTGATGAGCAAAATTATTCGATCATTATTGCTGATTTTAATAACAGACGAGTGATTCAATGGTTGAATCAAAATCAACAAATTCTCATTAACAATATTGGCTGTTATGGCTTGGCAATGGATAAACATGGGTTTCTTTATGTTTCTGATTGGAAGAAGAGTGAAGTGAGACGATGGAAAATGGGAGAATATAATAACGAAGGAATTGTAGTGGCAGGTGGAAATGGAAAAGGAAATCAACTCAATCAATTTAATTCACCTACTTTTATGTTTGTTGATGAAGATCAATCTGTGTATGTATCAGATAGAGACAATGACCGTGTGGTGAAATGGGTAAAAGATGCAAAAGAAGGAAGAATTGTGGCTGGAGGAAATCGTCAAGGAAAAAATCTCAATCAATTGTATTATCCTCAAGGAGTAATTGTCGATGATTTGAGTCGAATCTATGTGGCAGATTGGGGGAATCATCGAATAATACGTTGGTGTGAAGGAAAAGCAGAAGGTGAAATTGTTGTTGGTGAAAATGGCCAAGGAAATCAATCAAATCAGTTGTATTATCCTCGTGGTTTATCTTTTGATGATGAAGGAAATCTTTATGTTGTTGATTCGGGAAACCATCGAATTGAAAAATTTGAAGTAATCTTGTGAATGAAATTTTGATTTTGAAAAAAAGAAAATAAGTTTTTGTTGAATAAAAAATCGAGAAATAAAAAGAAAAATAAAAGAAAAAGTAACGTTTTATTGTTAAAAATTAATGAAAAAATCGAAGAAATTCTTGTCGAAAAATAAAAATATTTTGATAAAAAAGCAACGAAGAAAACTCGGATTCAGAAGATTCATTACTTGTTGGCGTGGAAGGATACAAATTGTTGTTCCAAAAATCTTACTCATGAAACGTTTAAGGCAAGCATAACGAAGTACTATGGTATCCACCTTTCAGGCAACGTTTGCTATACAAAAATTTGTTTACCGAACAAAAAACAATCATTTTTTGCCAAATTTTGAATAGCAGCTATATAAAAACAATTTGCAGTGATAGATGTAGATGTGGTCGAAATAGAATACCTACACCTTCTATAATATTCGCTTGCGTGCGATAAAGTTCTTATATAAACTTGATATTTGAAAGTGTTCACAAAACAAACGATTTTTGTATGATGACTTTTCTTATTTGAAACAATCTTGAATCGTGTATTGCTCTTAGAATATTCAAAGAATTGATCAGAAAATATTTTTATTCATTTAATTCGATTAATATGATAATATTTGTTCGATTACTCTTAAATGACGCTTTCAATAGTTGTGGGGAGTGGGCGATGATTTCTTGATTATTCGCATAAATCGCCACCTCACGTACCCATTCTTATCCACACCCACACCCTCAAGATTTCAAGCAACAAAAGAGCACGCATTGGATAATAAGAGGGTGCGGGTGTAGGGTGAAGAGAAAAGTATCAAGCACATCCTCTATTAAAAGCATTAAAAATCTAAAGGTCAAATTGCAACTCCGAGAATGATCTTATCTAGTAAAACCATTAGTAGTTGCTTATTTTCGTTTAAACTTATATGATAATTCAGATATTATAGTATACGATAGAGGATTATTTACTATAAACTACTACTATATGTTTGTAAATGGCAATAAATTTTTTAAAACATACCTTTACTCAAGTATTCATTTTTCGTCAATGTGCTTTAGTCAGTGTAATTCAATTACTTCTGCAGATAGAGAACTGTATGATAAAATAAACAACGTAAGAAGATAATTAGATAAAAGATAATCTCATGAAACAATGATTATATTTTATGTATATGAAACTCGATTAAATAGTTGTTTGAGAATCAATGATTGTTTCAATGCAATAAAATAAAAACATTTTTTTATATTTATGTATAATCGAGATAACGTAAACATAAGATGCTTTTGTTTTGTACCAGTCACCCCTGTCTATATCTACTACGTTATAGTTCTAGTTTTTGTTTGATCAATATACATTATTTGTTTAATTCTAGTAAGATAAACATAGTCAATAAAAAAGTTATTTATTATAATATAAATAATTCATAAAAACTTAAGAAAATTCAATTCCTCCATCAATCATTATACTCTGCCCAGTCATATAGTCTGAATCTTTACTAGCAAGATATGAAACAAAATTTGCAACATCATCTGGAACACTTGTACGTCCAAGAGCAATTAATTTATTTGAATATTCTTCAATAACTTCTCCTTTCTTCTTATTTTCATATTTTGCTAATTTTTCATCAATTAAATTCCACATTTCAGTACCAACAATACCTAAAATAAACTTATTAAACAGATATATATATATATTATTATCATCAAAATATTCATACCAGGACAATAAGCATTTACGGTAATTTTATGTTTAGCTAATTCCATAGCAGCAGCTTGAGTAAGACCGCGAACACCCCATTTAGTAGCAGAATAATGGCTTAACATAGGAAATGGTTTGTATCCAACGATACTACATGCACCTATAATTTTTCCTCCTGTTCCTTGTTCTATCATTATTTTTGCTGCTTCTTTATAACAAAGAAATACTCCACGCATATTAATAGCAAACATTTTATCCCAATCTTTAGTTGTTAGTTCGATAAAAGGTTTTACTTGTGCTATTCCAGCATTAGCTACAGCAATCTTATTTATAAAATAAAAAAAAAATTAGTTCGAATAAAAGAAAATGAATACGTACATTTAAACTACCTAATTCTTTTGTTACTTTCTTCATCATTGTTTCGACTTGTTTATCATTTGAAACATCAGCAATAATTGCAATTGATTTTTGTCCAAGTTTTTCTATTGCTTTTTGAGTATCTTGTAATTCTTGAGACATAATTTCGATATCATTAACAGCAACATTAAAACCATCTTTAGCAAGACGAAGTGCAATTGCTTGTCCAATACCTTTTGCAGCACCAGTAACAAGAACATTACGAGACATCTAAAATTTTATTCATATCATATAGTCGTACTTTCATAGAATTTATATAATACTAAAACATGTTCAAACTGATAAATATGTGTCTTCTAAGTAGTGCACTTTTTAACATTGAATGATATGATAATTATCTATATATTTGTAATATCACATATTATATGATGTGTCCCTCCTTTTTTTCTTCTTTATTCACGATACATATACAGTTCAAGGTAAGTATCTTTTATTCTTTTTTTTTCTTTGTCCTTCGACGTATACATATGCAACTGTATGTAAAATATTAGTTTTATCTTGTATTGATATTTTCATTATTAGAATAATTCTTTTAATTATAAAAAAAACTAATATCTAAGAGATTATATTTTGTTATTAATATTAATTTTGACTTCGTCTTAATGCTGCCGATGATCATTAATATATCCTTCTTTGACATGTTTTAATAAAACAGATTGTCGTGCATCGCAATATTCATATTGTTCAAATACTTTTCATTTAATATCATTAAATATTGTTTCACTAGTTCTGAATTCTTGTCCATGGATAGTACCAAATGTGGATAGCATCTCCTGAAAGTTTCAATTCAATTGGACATTTTCTTCACGAGATATTAATTTTTTTAGAAAAAAAGAACTTTCTCATATCATTGGTAAAATATGAGCACTTTTTGAAATATATTATCTCGTGAAGAAAGTGTCCAACTGAACTGAAATTTTCAGAAGATGCTATCTACATTTGATACTATCCATGGACAAGAATTCCGACCAAGCTGCGATCACTCGAAGAGAAAGCGCTAATAGTTGTTATCCTCTCAGGCTTTTACTAGACAGACTGGTACGACTTATGCACAAAATATCAGCTTAAAAGCGATTTTCAAGTTGGTGACCCTTCCTCATCAGTCAAAATTCAAATTATAATTCTGACTAGACAAAATTCATATATTTTCTTCCATAGGTGAAAGATAGTAAAATGTTTGCGTGTTGATCGATTACTCTTTCTTTCATTCTTCTGTTGACTATAGTTATTCTCACAACTAAAAAAGTTAAGTCAAAACCAAGAACAGCTGTTATGTACGATGAATGACTAACCCAGTAAGACAAAAGACAAACTAAAGAGAAAATGTTTGAATTTCGTCTAGTCAGAATTGAATTTTCAACTCTGACTAGTCAAATTTGAAATTTGCCTATAACATATATATACATGAATATTGAACATGATTTCACACCTTCGAATAAATTGAATCGTGGATATAGGATTTTTCTTGATAGTGTTGTGTATCATATACTCGTTTTTTTAAAATTTTTACTCAGCAATGACAACGAATAAGATGATGTTGGAATCATTATCCAATGAATTATTTATTGAATTATTCGAATTATTTGATGCAGTTGACCTCTTTCGTGCTTTTTATGGTCTAAATACTCGTTTTAATTCTTTATTAATTCTTTTACGAGGTTATCGAGTGAATTTTCGTTCAATATTCAAAGAAGACTTCAACCATTTCTGTCGAACATATCTTCCATTTATAATAAATCGAACAATGTATCTTCGACTCTCCGATAATGAAGACGCGCCATATCAATATGCTCATTTTCAATCTGCAGGTTTCATATTTGATCAATTCGATAATCTTCGTTATTTAAGATTGGAAAATGTTAGTTCGGATCCAAAGATCAACCAGTTTTTCTTTTCCAATTTATATCATCTTCATAATTTGACACATCTGAAATTTATTAATTGTCGACTGCATGCCATCTCCTCCGGTGATTTTCAAGATGTGATTGATCAAATTTGGAATTTACCCAAACTGACACATTGCTATTTTGATTTCTGCTTTCGTGGTACAAGTCATTTTTGTATTCCTACTTCCGTATCAACATCGTTGCAATGCTTAACAATTCTTGGAAATTGGTGGCATTCGAATAAATTTGTCGATTTATTAAAGAAGACACCACATTTACGAACATTTGTCGTATCATTGCAAAGCTTTCAGATAGATGAGATACCTTTTCTTTATCAATTTCCTCTATCACCTAAGAATCTATCTGTTAAAAGACTCATTCTATATAGAGTAGATACACAACGTCTAATGATTAATTTATTGCAATTATTACCCAATGTCAGTCATCTGAAAGTTGAAATATTCTTTATGAAGTTAGATGGAAATCAATGGGAACAAATCATTGTTAAGTATGCACCGCAATTAAAAGTTTTTCAAATGATGATAAATGCCTATCTTTGTCCTTCAACTGATAATCAGAGAAATGAAGAAAAAATCGATCAATATCTCGCGACATATCGTACACCATTTTGGATCGAACATCATCAATGGTTTATTCGATGTCATTGGAGAGTATTGAGAGGGTATGTTCGTATGTGTGTTTATTCGTTACCCTATGCATATGATGATTCTCTTACTCACGAGGATGAATTGTTGGATAAGACAAAATCAACTTGCCCAGATCTATAAACGAATGGTTCTTCAATCATGGGTTTGTGTCTAATAAACTATTAAACGGAATTTAGAACAAACGAATTAATTTAGAATTCATTTATTGTCAAATAAAACATTTTCTTATTTGTGAAAAAAATTAATTGATTGAGTTTTTCGTTGCTCTATTTGAACTATTCAGATCAATAAAAATTATCAAATTCTTTTTTAAAACCAGAAAGAATAATTATTAGATTTAATCGAATGCTAAAGATTATTGTTAAGGATAGGTGTGAGTTGGGATTGTACACAACCCTTGAAACGTTAGTTTTTTTATAGGTACACATCATATGGCTACTGCTTAATATATGAAATCAAACTATTATCCAAAGAATGAATAAAACATTTTTTTTCTTTTGTACAGTTTAACCCTAGTAGTACCAGCGGGGGTCATTTCTGACCCCATCTCAAAAAGTTAAAAGTATACTAGAAATAATTTTTTTTCCTAATTTTTAGGAGCAGCCAGCATCTATCTTTAATAGATACATGCTGTTGAATCTGAAAAAACATATATTTGTTTTCCATATCCTTATAACCTGTTAACGTAGGCCTATCTCTTCGGAATATTATAAGTATAGGGAAAAAAAGAAGAAAAATTAGAACTTGTGATATATAATCCAATGACTCATATAAGAATCCAACTTGAATATAAATGTTCGAACAATTAAAAACATTTTTTGAGTGGTTTAAAGCTATTCAGTAACGATAGTGGATGATCTATATCATTGTAGATCAAATGTATCGATGGTATTACTTGTCTTTTTTATTTTATATTTTTTGAGTAATGAAACTACTTGTATGACTTGTTCTAAATAAAGCAAATCATATTCATTTTTCTATGACGTTGAATACAGAAATAGCATATTACATTGAGAAACTCATCGAAAAAAGAAAAAAATGGTTTAAAAAAACAAATGTCGTCAATATAGTGCTTAAAACAGGCCGGTACTACTAGGGTTAATTCGATGACATTCTAATGACTATTATTTTATCATCAATAAATACACCAACAATAAACCTTATGTAAATGATAATATGATATGAGCACTCATTTTTATCACAAGTAAAAATAAATGAATTTACAGAATATAACATCATCTCGTCAATGATAACTGAACCTAACGGACTGTTATTTTAAATATAAAGATAAAGAATTATTCTTTATTTTTCCGTAACAATAAATCTTAAAATAAAAGAAAACGGAGAACAATAATCATATCAAATTTGATAATTTTATTAAATATAATGTTTACTCCATGCAAGAATAATGTGTTTCAAAAAATAAGGTTCTAGAAATTTTTTGAAAAGAGCATCTAAATAATAATTGAATTTCTTATTTACCTTCAAAAAGAACGTGCGTAATGAATGAATTCTTATAGAAAATTTGTTAATTAAATACAAATCTATTCAAGTGATATCTTTTTCTATTCTTGTCCATGAAACAGCTTCGTATAACTGACGATATTTTAAACTTTGATTGAAGAAATGTCAAGATTTTAGTTGTCAGAAAAGAATAGATGAGAATGAGAATCATATAGACATAAAAGAATTTTTTTTCTATAATAAACATATACAAAATAAATATTTGAATACATTCAAATGAATAAACCGAAAGAAAGAAATATATTTCTGATTTCGAGAATACAAACAAGTGTTGAGAGAAACAGTTCTATGTTCTTTCAACGATACGAGAAATGTAAGAAGTTATAGAAAAAAAGAGTAAAAAAATCACTCACTGTTGTGCACATTTTATTTTTCATTCATCACAACAAAACATAATGCGCTCTATCATTGTCTTATTTTTCATTATATTTCTTTCATCTGTAACAGGTTTGTTAGATTATCTTTCTCATTTGATTCTATTACAATATAAATGAATTCTATAGGACAAACAACACAACTACCTGATTATTCTTGTGATGAAAATGATGTTTCTATTCAGTTTGCATTATTGTCATCATCTCATTCAGCTTGGAATTCAATCTCAAATTGTTCTTTACAACAATGTAATATAAGCTTGAATGGTAGCGATAATTGTCTTTCATCGTCAACACCATGTTTTGATTATCGAACAATAAATAATATTAGTTATTGTGCACCTGCTATCCTATGTTCAATATTAGAACGATGTGATAATATTACACAAACATGTTCATCAAATGATTCCGTGTGCGTTATTAATTCATGTTGTTCATCACAAGCAATATGTTTACCATTATTAGCAACATACATGTGTGAAAGAGGTACGAATACATATTATTTGAGTGCGAGTGTAGGTGTGGGAAGCGAATCATGATACACACTGACACTCTCAAGATTGAAGAAATATAAAAATAATATATTCTAGCATCAACATCGACTAGTACTTCATCAACTAGCAGTACAAGTTCAACATCATCGACAAGTAATTGGTGTTTAGATAATCAATTTTCTTATATTTTGAAATATCTGTTTATTTAGGTACATCGACCAGTTCATCAACATCATCAACAACTTCTACTACATCAAGTAAATTAAAAATACTCGAAGATATTACTAGAAATATATTTTACTAACTACTAAATATATACATAAAACAACATTCGACTGATACGACTGTTTCCTTTATTAATAAGCGATGATTTTATTTTTTGCCATTTAGCTACATCAACAACAAGCACAAGTACGTCAACATCGTCGACCTCGAGAACATCAACATCAACAACCTCGAGTATGTCTTTTAAAAGAAAAAAGATTACAACATATGAAAGATTTCGATCTCTTTTAAATATATAAGAGATAACAATAAGTTTATTATAGAATTGTCCAAAGATTCAACTTATCACTTCAGTAGTAAGGTTAAATTTTGAACTCAAACATTAATGAGTTACATTTCTTTTAAATGGATATTCTCACTTATAGAAGAAAAATTTCACACGGATCAGTCTTTTCTCAACAGAATAGCAATTGATTTATTCAGTTTTAATTTAAAACTAAATTTAAATTATCTCTCTTGTGTTTTGTGTTATTCATATATTAATGACCTAGTTCTACATCAAACTTTTGTATCGATTTGGTATAGATAGAAGTAGTTGTTCTTTGTTGATGCTAGTTTTATTACTGATAATTCCATAGTCAACTCGAATAGAAATAAAGCGCATTTAGCTGAACACATCTATAAAAAAAACTAAAATAATCATGTTAAAACGCTATATCTTATCAATAAATTATTATAAAAAATTTAGTGTATTACTATGGTTAAGCAAATATGTAATAGAAAATCGTAGAGTGTATGACGAGAATACATCGATAGAATGAAATGAAATTATCTATTTATTTTAGCGACTTCAACAACATCAGTAACTACATCAAGTGAGTAGCGATTTATAGTGAAATGTATATATTAATGTATTTCAACACTCTTCATTGTAGCCACGACAACTATGACAACACAAAATTCAAAAGTGAATTCTCTTAGTGACAATAACATAACAAATAATACGTGGACATTATTCACTTGTACTTATATGTCAGTCATATCGGGAAATTTGACACTCAAATTCACCATGACACCTTCCAATAAACATGATTGGTATCTAGATGATGTATCCGTAAAAGATCCATCATCAGTAGAAATGTTGACAAATGGCGATTTCGAAAGTAGTCCAACATTGACTGGATGGAATACAGGATCTGGTGGAGCTATATCTAGCACTCAATCCCATTCATCGAGTCATTCTTTTTATGTGTCGTTTAATTCTGTATGGATCTCACAATCATTTAATGCCCTAAGTGGTGTCATATATAATGTTAGTTATTGGATCTATTTTGAAAGAACATCAAATGGTAACGATCCTACTGCGGTCTTAGATGTGACAATAAATTAACCGTTTTTGAGATATTATATTTGTTATACAATATAAGCATCATAATATATATGACAGTAGCCATGAAATAGTTGACATTAAAATTTCTTTTTTAGTTGCACTTTAATTTTATTTTAATAATAATTCTCATATATGCTTTTTTTGTTCATTTATCTGACTTAAGTATATAATTTTACTCCACAAAATAAATTATAATAAATAAGAATATCAAACAGGGTTTGCAAATGGAATGAGACAAATACAATAGGTAAGTGTGGATGTGGGTGCTTCTTTATTCTCTCAAATTCATATCTACGCCCACACCCACACCCTCAAGATGTTTTTATATTTAATTATTAAAAAACAAAATTTTCATGGCTAAAATATTGCGTAACAGTAAGATTTTAATTTCTGTTTCATTCAAGAGTGGGTGAGGTTATGTTGGAGGCAATAAAATCCAATGAACGAATTTAATATCCTATGCACCTTCATTCTTAGATTGGGTTTTAAAAATGAGACAAATATTGTCTGAAATAAATGTAACATGCGCACTTTAGCAGAGAATCACAAGACGAATGTATTGAAAAGAAATATATATTTTTTTTGACGGTAGAATGTTCCATTTTTGGATAGAACACATTATGATAAGTACATTTAGCAAAATGAAACATACAGACAACAAAAAGATACAATATATTGACAGAAAAAAGCGGCTTGAATAAAATAATATATAGAATAAGTTCCATTTTGTGTTTATATGCCAGTGGTCATCACCATTGCTGTTCGTGTTTGTTTCTGAGGAAAGAAACGACGATAGAATTGTATTATTATTCGCTTGAGTTCCTGCCTAAATATACTCGCTGTTAGAGTATAAATGTA